TCATTAACATGACATTTAAAAGTTTTGTTGAACATTTATCATTATATGTTTACCTCTCCACTTAATAACAATGAACTATTGCAAATAAATGCTTACAAAAGTGGAATTTGTGTAACACATCTGCTTATAACACCACACAATTCTTTCAATTTAGCATGCCTGTATGGAAGAAGACAAGGAGAAGAAAGTAAAACTGCAAAGCTTAGAAAGGAAGAAACAAAATTGAAATTACTTGCAAATGATGTGGTTTTGTGCAAAAACACTGCAAAAGATGCTTCAGAAAATTAGTAGAAATAACAAGAGAATTTATTTAGCAAATTGCTGGAAATAAAATCAAATAAATGTTGGCATACATTTCACAGACAGACCAGCAGTAGTTGAAAAATAAAATTAAACATCTGATTTTAAAATAATAGAAAAAAGTATGTAGTAACAAAAATGATAACAGAGGCAAAAACTTTCTGGATAAATGTATAAAACTTTACTAAATGATGTTTAAGGAGGCCTAAGTAAATGGGAAGATAGACCATGTTTATTGATTGGAAAACAATATTTAAAAAAGGTTGACTCTCTAAGTTGATTCAGTGAAAAAGTCATATACCCAACAGGTTTTTCTTTTTTGAAAATTAATAAGCTGATTATAAATTTTGCATAATGCAAAAAGTCAAGAATAACTAATACACTTTTGAAGGAAAAAAATAGGTGAGTTGACAAGTAGACATTGCTTACATAAAGTACTACCAAGCTAAAGTAATTAAGACCATAAGTTGTTGGTGCAGGCAGAGAAAAATCTAGTCTTCCCAAATAGATGCATTTAAAAATGGGCTATGGTACTGCAGGTCAGTAGGGAAATTATGATTTTTTTTCAATAAATCATCCTGGGAAGTTGACCCTCCTTTCAGACAAAAACAAAGTCAAATGCCTTTCTCACACCAGAAATAAAAAATAATCAGGTAGACCAAATATCTAAATAAGAAAGCCAAAAATTATTAAACATTATGAAGATGATATCATAGACTATCTTTAGGGCTTTAAGGTCATAAATTATGAATGTTAGTCCTAAGTAAATAAAGGTAAACTGTAAATTGTAAATAACAGTTATGTTGTAAATATTATATAAGGTTCATTAACTGTAAATGATTGATGGATTTAATCACATTGAAGTTAAAAGTTTGTGTTCATCAAAAAACACTGCAAAGAATGAAATGACAAACCACACCCTGGGAGACGATATCGATGACACATCAATAAGAGGGGAGAGGCTAGAGTTTCCTCTCCAGAGGGATCTGCATAAAAGGAGTTGTGATCATTAGTAGCTCAAGATCTTTGGAAAGGTGAGAGGAGCACTCAAGGAGATACATGTTTTGGGTAACTATGGCAACACTTGTACATAACACTTTCTGTGAATACAGAAAGGACAATGGCAAGCACAAAAAGAAACAGGTTTCAGGTGAAAAGTCTCCAGGAGGTATAATGTCACCAGGGGGATTATTTCAGTGATGTCAAGGAAGCAGAGCCAATGTCCAAGAAAGAAGTTGAAGGTAAGGAAGATGAATGATTATGGGGCAGGAATTCCAGAGGTCACAGGGGTTGGGTAGGAGGGTGGGGAGAGGCTCAGGGCTAGGTTTAACAGATAGGACAGAGAAAACAGCAACGTGGGAAGGAGCCCTCAGTGGATGGTAGGTGACCAGAGATGCCTGCCTATGTTTCATGGGACCCACAGAAATTCAGATAGGAGGTGTAAAGGAGGAGGGGACCACCATGATTTAGTAGGACTTGACCATGTCCTGGAAGTAAGCCCACTGACAATAGTGGGAGGTATGTGTGCCTTCACTGGCGATGGTAGGCACTGGGACCAGAGGATGTTTGGAAAAGATGCACAGCAAGGCTGAAGCTGGAGTCTCTCAGTGGCAGAGGGAATGGGGTCACCAGTGACCCAGATTATTCTTTCCAAGAATGGGTTTGTGCCATGTGTACTTTAAGGGTCCTCCAGGTACAAGCTGATAACTCCAGTCTTTTCCTTTTCCTCCTTCCCAGGGTGCGATAAACTCAACTTTTAAAATATCTCATGTAGATATTGGCAGTTGATCCCTTTATATTGTTGAATATGAACATTTAAAGGTCTAAGCTAATGATTTCCTCTGGGTTAGTAGACCAGGGCTAACTAAGTAGAAACACTGGCTAGTTCTGTTATTTTAGGGGGGATAGAACAGGTCCTGGGTTAACGCCAGATAATATATGTCTTAATAAAAGAATTCTATTTTCAGAGGCACATAATATTATGAAAGGCCTCTGAAAATAACTGGACAAGTGTGGTAGCCTTATTATATCAGCAGGGGTTTGTCGTTGTCAGCCACAAGGCAAATTTGGGTGGCTTTTGACAGAACAGAAACTTAGGAAAAGGAGCACGGATAGCTCTGGGACCCCCTGAAAGGGCTGGAGCAGAAGGGCCCTATACTGGCAGAGACCCGCCCCTGCCAGGAGGGGGCAGCTTTTTCTTCTGCACAGAAAGGCCCCTCACAAGCTCGCTGAGGCCTTGGGTGGAGATGTCAGGGTAGGGTGACAGACCTAGAAAATGCCCCCATTCCACCAGAGGGCTGGTCTAAAGAAGCCATCACTGCCACCTTGAGCAGTGCAGACTGGGGGTGATCAGGTAAACGCAGGCTCTGTCCACCGCACTGGACTGTGTCCTCCCGAGTCTCTCTGGCCCCCGGGTGGGAGACTCTCAAGTTGCTTTCAGCCCTTGTTCCAGAGGAGGTGAAGAAAGTCAGTCGCTGATTTATTTTTGCTTTAAGGATAAGCAATGTCTGAGCCGCCCAACCAGACTCCAAGGTGAGGACTTCTCCAGACACATGAATTGGGTCTGGCCCTGAGCAACGGAGAAGGCCATAGCACTTACTTGGTACTGTTTCCTTTATTTGGACTTCAACCTGGCATTTTAAAACACAGGGGACTCTGGTGCCTCAATGCAGTAGGGGACTCTGGATCTCAGTACTGTTGATTCAACTGCATACCACAGCAAGGAGCATTTCAACTATAAGCCACACGTCCTTGATCCCGGGTCCATTTAAGTCAATTTAGTAAACATTTATTATTTGCCTATTATGTGAAACATAGGCAGATTTTTTTTAAATTCAGCAACAAATCTTGTCTCTCCTTGTCTCTTTCTTCACACCTCATAAACAGATTTAGCTGCCCCAGATAGAAACCTCCTGCAAAAACAAATAAAATGCATGGAGGGATTTAGGCAAGATATGCACAAAACAAATGAATCTGTTTTCTAGAAAATATTAGTGAAAGACTCTTCTTTGTCACAACCCCTTGTTTTGTTATTCTTTAACATCTGAAGACACCCTGATTTTAGTACAGCACACAATAGCAAACTCTAAATATATTTGGAGGGGTGCCTGGGGGCTCAGTCAGTTAAGCGTCTGCCTTCAGCTCAGAACATGGTCCCAGGGTCCTGGGATCGAGTTCCGCATCTGCTCCCTGCTCGGTGGGGAGTCTGCTTCTCCCTCTGTCTGCTGCCCCCCACCCCACACTGCCTGTGCATGTGCTCTCTCTTTCTCTGACAAATAAATAAAATCTTTAAAAATAAATTTGGAGATCCATAAACCTATGGATCAATGAAATAAAGCACTGCTTTCTGCAAGAGAAAAATGTTAGGAGATACTTCTCTCTCTCTTTTTTTTTTTCTAATTCTCTTTTCCAATATTTGGAAAATATATGCTCATAAAATAGTGAATGATATTAAGAAATGTATATGTAAGATTAAGAAAAAAGTTCCAAGACACATAATTTACAAGACTATGACTAAGGTGTTACTGTTTAAATATGCTAGATGAAACGCGAGTCACTTTATTGGTAAAACACTCTTAAAACTGAACCAGGGCTATGGTGCCAATGACCTGGGAAGGCAATGGTTCTGAGCTTGCCAAATCTCAGGGGAGGAGGGCTGAGGGACTCTAAAGAGAAGCACATTAAACTCTAATTAAGAACCTAATAAGGACACAGTTGTATTGCTTTTAATCTAAAGATCTATCCTGTCATTTAACAGTCCTGAAGACACGATTGGCTATTACCAGTACAAGTACTGTGGATTGAAGATAGTTTGCCAAAGGAGATCCTTGCTGGCAGAGTTAAAAGGAGAATGGTGATTAACAGAGCCTAAAGAAAAGGGATTTGCTTAAAGCGAATACGTGACACGCATGAACAGCTCAAAATCAAGCTCGGCGCACCTGAGTTTGGAGACCTTCAAGCAAGAAGTATGCGTAGCTCTGTTTTTGTTTACATGTTCCCCTCTTTCCTGCAACCTTCTTCCTAATCTTCACCCTGGCTTTCAAGCCCCGTACACACGCAGTTCTAGCCCCTTTCTGAACAAATGACCTTGCCTCCTACCTTTTAGGGAGAGGAGAACTCTGCCAGAGTCCCAACTTCTGCACTGACATAAAGAAGTGTGTAATGATTTGTTTAATGTCTGTGCATCTCACCTGCAGCGCGGAAAGCTCCCTGAGATCGGGGATGGAATCTGTTCACCGGTGTCCCCTACAAGTACCAGCACGTGGTCTCCCTGGGGTTCCATAAGTATCTGTTGCATGAAGGCAGGAACCCACTTCCTTTCCCTTCTTGATCAGTTTTTGTTTTAAACACAAAAGTTTTGTTTTTAACAGAATATATTGTCATGGGGAAAAAAAAAAACTAAAAACCCAGAATAGTACAGAATCGGATGGAAGGGAATTGAATTATCCAAGTCGCCCTCTGTGGGGAAATTCCACTGGCTCCCTTCCTCACCTCCTCGCTGGCCTCCAAGCTCACCTTCCCCCTGAGCCCAGATTTCATCCTCTTGCTGCGAGCCCCTTCTGGAAGCACTTCCCCTCCACGTGGACGAGTCAGGGAGGGGGCGCTTGGCAGGGCCTCTGCTCAAGGTGGCCAAGAGTAGCAACAGCTGAGGGTGAAAGCAATAGTGTCGTCAAGGGGAACAGTGGCTGCGTGCCCGACAAGCTAAATCCGTCATCAGACCTTAAGGGTGAGAGCAGGCTAAAGGAAATAAGAGGCAAAATAAAAGGTCAGGGGAATCCAGCAGGAGGTCAAGAATGCACATACAAGCCCAGACCAAGCGAGAGGGTCCAGCACCATATCGATGAATCAAGAAGGGATAACGAGAATGCATTTTTTTTAAATTTTGGGGTGTTCCAGGGGGCTGATGAGGGCTGGACTGGCACTCAGATACCTCTTTGGAACTTCAACCTATTAATTATCCTCTCTCTCCCCTGTACACTAGTTCCAATTCATTTCTCAGACTATAAATATGCTAAGCCTCTTCACCTAAAAACAAACAAAAAGCCTCTCTCTCAACCCTGTCTCCTCTTCAACGTACCCCCACCCAGGCTCTCTTCTGCCAATTTCAGACACATTTCTTGAAAGACCCAACCCAAGCTCCGTGTCTGTGTTCCTCGCCCCTTACTCGCGGATTGGCTTGGTTGATTCTGCCTTCTGTCCCACCACTTCCCTGAAAACCGTCTCTGCCAAAGTCATCCTTGGCCTCCATATTGCTGTCATTAGATCCAGATTACACAGTCTTGTTTCCCTCTTTTTTTTTTTTTAAAGATTTTATTTATTTATTTGAAACAGAGAGAGAGATCACAAGTAGGCAGAGAGGCAGGCATAGAGAGAGAGAGGAGAAAGCAGGCTCCCCGCTGAGCAGAGAGCCCGATGCGGGCCTCGATCCCAGGACCCTGAGATCACGACCTGAGCCGAAGGCAGAGGCCCAACCCACTTCCTCTGACAGACCCTTTGGAGCTGTGACCACCGCCTCCTCATTTGGCCTCTCTGACATACCCACCACTCTGCAGGCTCTGCCGCTCTGTCCGTGGCTCATCCTTTCTGGGGTGAGGCCCTACGTCTCCACTCACTTATCTACTGCTGCCGTGGACCTCAGGTATCAGGAGGCAACCGGCTCTAGGTGTCTGCCCATTCTCGAGTGGTTAACATAGAGAAGCTGCCCAGGCACCATGTGTGGACACAAAACCCTGCTCACGGCTTCCTTTTCCTTACAAGAAAGCATGCTTTCCCATCTTTTTATAATAGTATCATGGTTATAATTCATGGAACATTTGCTATTTGGGTATTTCCCTTTCACTAATGTATGCATTTGGTTATTTTTTTTAAAATTTTATTTATTTATTTGCCAGAGGAAGCAGGCAGAGGTAAAGGGAGAAGTAGGCACCCCGCTGAGCAGAGAGCCAGATGGGGGACTCGATTCCAGGCCCCCAGGATCATGACCTGAGCCAGAGGCAGACGTTTAACTGCCTCAGCCACCCAGGTGCCCCTCAGTTATTTCTTTAGGCTGCAAATATTTACTGACTCTTACCTTGGTATAGGTGCTGTGCAAGTGTAATCCTTAGTTATTACAACTTACTTAGAAAATAGCATATTGTCACTTTATTTTTTTTTTAATATTTTATTTATTATTTATTTGACAGACAGAGATCACAAGTAGGCAGAGAGGCAGGCAGAGAGAGAGGGGGGAAGCGGGCCCCCCGCCGAGCAGAAAGCCCGATGTGGGACTCCATCCCAGGACCCTGAGATCATGACCCGAGCTGAAAGCAGAGGCTTAACCCACTGAGCCATGCAGGCGCCCCATATTGTCACTTTAGAAGCTGAAACTGAGGCTAGCAGTTGTCCCTCCTGGCTGCCATCTAAGAGTTCTTAAGAAGTACACTAAGAATTTGGATCCACGGCTCTTTACATTTCCCTAAGGTACGAAAAAATAAATCTAAAGCCCATTTTTCTTCAAGCATTTTATGCCAGGAGCTTTCCCCTCATTGATCTTATTACACAAGTGGTATCATTAGCTTATGGCCTGATATTATTTTTGAGAGAGAGAGATCATAGCAATGGAAACCCAGGAAGTCATAAGATTGTTACCGGAACTACCCACCCCCCAACTTGTTTCCACATGATCCAGGAAAGACTATAAATCACGTTTTCCAGTTCTTACAATACATCCATAAGGTATGGGGAGAGGTGGGAAGACCAATTTTAATCAAATAAATGAAAGAGTATATTTTTACACCTAAGAAAAGTCCCAGAAAGAGTACTCCCAAAAAGAGTACAGTTGAATACAAACTGATAGTAAAGAAACTTGACCCAGATTGGGAGGTCAAGGAAGCTTCCCTAAGGAAATAACATGTGAGTTAAGATCTAAGTGATGAATGGAAGTGAAGCCCATAAACGGGTGAGTGCTTCATAAGGAGAGAACAGCACACGCAAAGGCTCTGGGTAGAAGAGGCATATTGCTTTCAAAACCTAGCAGTCAGGGCATACAGTGAGGGTAACAGAAGGGTCCAAGAGGAGTAGCCTGGGCCAGACTATGCTGACCGTGCTCTTTTTTATATTAAGACTCAGAGTCCAGCAGGATGGGGGGTCTTATCAGATTTGTGTTCTGAAAAATCTACTACTGTGTGGAAAATCTGCCAGAGGGTCTCAGGAAGGATAGAGAAGAGTCAGGAGGCTATTGCCTTAGACTAGTGTGGTGGTCACGGGGGAAGACAGAGAAGTTGAAGAGTTTAATATCTATTTGAGGAAGTAGAATTAGTAGGACATGCAGATAGATTTAAAGAAGTGCCATAGTCTCGGGAGTTGGAGAGGACTAACTACATGAGTGATGGCACCATTTGCAAAGATAGGAAAAAGCAGTTGGAAGAAATCATGGGTTTGGTGGGTTATGTTAAGATGGAAGGCCTTGTGGCACAACAAGGTGGTTTCTGGCTATACCAGTCTAGAATTTCAAAGAGAGACCTGGGTTGAAGATAGGAACTAAGGAGTCATCAGTGGAGTTGTAATCAAGCCATAAGCATGAATGAGACAAGTCAGGAAGAACTGGAGAGTGAGAGGAGGCCTTGGATAGAGACATCCAAAAAGCCGTCATTGAAAGGACTCACTTTCTGATCATTTAAAAGAAAAACATGTTCTGAAGAAATTTAGCAAGTTCTTAAAATAAAATTTCTCTTATTTTGAAATATTAGCATCAATAAGAAGATTAAAAAACAAAACAAAGAACCCTGCACCTCTCTGGCCCCAAATGAATCATAATGTTTTACTTATTTTTTAAAAAAATTCCAAAGCATGCAAGGTAACAATATTTGTTTTCTAGGGGTGAATACATAGGTGCTTCTTATATGTCTTTGTAGGTTCTGTTTGAGTGAAATATTTCATAATTAAACAAGTAGTAACAATAAAGTGTTCCAGTGAATAGAGACTAAGTCAATGAAAATTCAGGCCAGAAAATTAAATACCAGAAGCAGTTAAGGGAAAAAAAAAAAAAAAAAGGATTAGAGATATGGCCAAGGAGTCATTTGGCCCCAATATGGAAGGTTTTGGCACAGCCTAAGAAGATGTGCCCTGAGGGATTCTGTTGATACGTTTTCAGGAATTTCCAGCATTATGGAGACCATAACAAATAAAATCTTGGCTCTATTTATATTTCAAGACAATGAGAAGCAAGAAATTGGCCAATATTATTTGTTTTGGCTGCACATAAAAGTCATTTGCCTGGTTTAATGAATAGATGGTACTTTTGTGAGCCTTCTATACATAGCATACTTAAAGTTTGGAAGCAAGCTACATCTGAAACAAGACTAGTGATCTACAAGTGATGTCTAATTGGCAATGACTTTGGTAGTATAACAGGACAATGAAACCACCGTCTGCCTCCCCAATACCACCAACTACCACAACCACCACTGTCTCTTCTTGTTCACTACCCCCAAGAGGAGGATTGTTGAAGCATATCACCTCTAAAAACTTACTCTGGCCCTTATATTAAGGGATATATGGCTCAATGATGGACGTTTTCTCACAGTACCTAGAAGAATACAAACTCCATAGTTTTGAGAAGCTAGGCTGGAGAGATGTGGAGATAATTAGAAAAAGAAAGGGCCATAGCTGTAGCTCACAAGGATGTTGTATGGAGTGCTATATCCAGCCCTGATTTTCCTACCAAACTCCAGGGCTGCCAACCCCATCTTGGACCATCCTGTTTGACTCATTCCCTATGGTGTTCTTCTATTAGTAAGTAACTCAGACTTAAGGAAATGGTTAATGATGACTGGTCCCTTGGACTACATGCTGGGGAAAGGGAAGGGCTCTAGGATGAGGGCAATCCCTGGAGTACTGAAGGGACAGCTGTACTGTGAAGGCTTAAAGAAGGGAGTCCTCCTGCATGGTTCATGGGCCTGAGGTAGAAGGTCTGTTATTCATGGCATGATGGCTATGAAAGTTTTCATTTCTTGAGGAATCTTTTGTCTTTTATCATGGTGAGGTTATAGATGCTTCCCCTTATAGGCTAATAGTTTCTTTTTATTCTCGACAAATTTCATCAAAATCTGATGAACCCACATAACTGTGTATGATGACATTATAGAGGGGATAAAAGGATAGGCTCCAAGTGCAAGGATTGCTTCACGTTTTGTAGTGGGTTGAATAGTGTCCTCCAATAACTCATGCCCCACCTGGGACTTTAGAATGTGATCTCATTTTGAATAAGCCTTTGCAGATGTAATTCAGGCAAAGATCTCTAGATTAGATTATCCTGGATAGGGTGTGCCCTAAATCCAGTGATTAGTAGTGTCCTTTATAAAATACAGAAAGGAAGAAAGCCTAGAGATGAAGAGAATAAACCATGTGAAGACAGAGCCAGAGATTAGAGAGACCCATTAGCCAAGGAACATTAAGGACTGTCTGTGGTCGTCAGAAGCTAGGAGAGAGGTGCAGAATTCATTCCAGAAGGAACCAACCCTGCCAATACCTTGATGTCAGACCTCCAGCCTCCTGAACTGGGAAGAACAAATTTCTGTTGTTTTAAGTTGCCCAGTTTGAGATAATTTGTTACAACAGCCCCAGCAAACTAACACATCTCTGCAAACGCCCTGTGAGGTTGGCAACACTTCTTTGAGAGTGACTAGAATCCTTGAATTCGGGGCTGTGAAGAGCAGTAAAGTAGGCAGTGGCCTGTTACTGAGAGCTGAGGAGCAGAG